ACTTGTGTTGTCATTCCTGCGGCAGCTACATTCGTTAGACAATGAATTCAACCAGAAAAATGCCTGCGTTGAAAAACAGCCCAGAAAAGAAACGCCACTTTCAGATGGATCGATTCCTTAACTCAGCTAGCTGTGGGGCTGCCCAGCCAGCCGTGCCAGCACAAGGGAGGGGAAGCGCCAGGGTGGGAAAGAGCGGCGGCTGTTCATGCAGCTGACGCAACCCCGCTGCCCATCCGTAAGGGAAGCGTACAGCAGGGACGGCTGCCGCGCCCCGGGGTGCTGCGTGCAGGTGTAGCAATGAGCGCTTAGATGGAGAGCGTGCATTAAGCAGGCATAATGGATGTTCTGCAGAGATAGCATACTTCAGTAATAGGTACGGTTTGCTAGCATGAATAGGCAACAGTTTACTCACAGTTAGGCTGCATCATAGTTGTGCCTTGTGGCCAATAACCAGGTAACAGCAAATATTGGAGGAGAAAGAGCTTGCCTGCTTGTGGCAGTAATATACTCCAATATGCCACAAACCAACAACACCAGATTCTACAGCTGGTACTGAAGATATAAAGAAAATGTATATTTACTCCTCAATACCATACCATACCATACCATACCATACCATACCATACCATACCATACCATACCATACCACTGTATTTCAAAGACTTTGCTTCCCCACATATAAAAATAGACAATCTAACACATCCACACATGTTCTGAGTTTCCATCTCAGTTAGCATCCTTCACATATCAAGGTATCTTGGTACGTGGAGATTTCCAGGGTTGAATTCAGTCCTTTAGACAATATGAATACCTATTTATATGGTTGCAGAGTAGTAGGGTCAGACTGCAACGTGGTGTAAATCACAGTAGCTTAACTGATCTATGCTTGGTATTTCTCTACTCAGTGTTTTAGCCTTTTTCTTCTTAGCTGAGTAAACCTTTGCTGGCCCCAGTGGGCTTTCCTGCTACTGCCATTTCATTTAATCCAGAAGGCTTTAATTTTACTGTTTTTAGAGCATTTTGTGGATAAGCTGTACATTCACTCAAATTTCTAAATGATATTCTAAAATCATCTGTGCATTCATCCCAAGCATAATATGCCCTTTTCTGCCTAGGCACAGGAGTTCATTACAAATGGAAAGTAAATGAGAAGCTAAAATTGAAACTTGCTAACAACTTCAATATGGATGTATGATATCCTGAAAGTATATATTACCAGATGTTAGAGAGTCTTGAAAAGAAGAACAAATCTGAAATAGTTAATATTAATGGGGAGATTAGCACAATAAAAATGAAAAAAAACTCTGGGTAATTTGTGAGTAACCAGTGTAGTGCCTGAAAAAACTGGGAAAAAAAATCTGTAGGGCAGCCAGATGAGAATGCTGAATAGAAAGCTTCTAAAGATTTAACCGCAAATGGTCAGGAAAAAAAACATTTCAGCTCTCAGAATGAGTCATTCAACATTCATTTCAGAGAAATAATTTTAAATCTGTAAAAGTTATTTTGTTTAAGGTAAAATAACATATTTTGAGAAATCCAGGTTACTGCAGAGCTTTATTTAGTTGCACTGTATTTATTCTGTTATACAGCTGCATTTCATCTCACAGACCTTAAGATGGATGCAAAGACCAAGGCAAAACTGAAACAGAGTCGGTGGTCTCAGTCTGTAATTGTGTGGTGGCTCTGAAAGAAGCACAGAGCATCACTTGAATAAACTGGGCATGTTCAATGGAGCCCTGAGAAATAAAGATACGTGTAACAGCCTTTCTGATATTACTGTTTTAATATTAGTCTGTTCTCATCCTCTTCAGGTTAGTCTTGATTCCCGGGTGAGAGAAGTGATCAACAGAAACTTGTTGGATCCCAGCCCTCACATGTATGAAGATGCCCAACTCCAGATATACACCCTAATGCACAGAGACTCTTTTCCAAGGTTTTTGAACTCTCAGATTTATAAGTCTCTTGTTGAAAGTATTACAGGCTCTACTTCTGAAACTTAGTTTTAATTTTCAAACAAAATAACTTGATTTTTTGGGGTGGGTGGGATGGAAGAAAAGTAGTTTAATAACATCTGGAGCTGGGTTCCTGGAGAACTACAGTTTAGCACTACTCAGGCTACTGTGAAGAAAACAAATATATATTATGGTCTCTGTCTACCTTTTTACCAAGGTCCTCCTTGCTCAAGATGGCGTGGGAGGGGAACAATGGATTTGCCAAAATACATTTGTTTCACACTCCTTTCACCCTACTGCAGTCAAGATTGCAATGATGTATTTGTAGTTTTATGAACAGTCTCCTTGTGTATCCTCACACTGCATGTGCAAGGTAAAACTGCTTCACTTACCACTTAGTTGTTGCAATATTTAATCCAATAACATAAATTATATCTGTATTTAAGAACTTTTTTTGTGCAATACAGTCTTATGGTACATAGAAACAATTGCAGCAAACCAGAAAAAGGCTTGCATTTTTTAACATCACTAACTGAAAAAAGCCAATTTTTAAGGTGTAGCATTACTCAACATGCTCTACTGAGTACAATACACTGACTTTTTGAAGCCAATATTTCTGTACAGAAAAAAAAGAGCTATTTATCACTGTTTATTTAAAATAAATCAAGCGGAGGATTCCTCTGGTTGTTCACTGCCAAAACTGTGGCATTTTCATTACAGAGTTTGCAATGAAAAAAAAAAAAAAAAAAAAAAGAAAAAAAAAAGCACAAACCACTTAAAGGGATCCGTATCTGGGTGACACAATCTATGCGCTGATATTGTTTAATTGTTAAAAGAACAAAAATTTTCAATGTACATTTCAGATGTCAGATACTGTAATTGATTTATTAAAGACTGGCTATCCAGTTCTAACACTGTTGTATAATGTTATGTACTTCAGCAAAAAAAAAAAAAAAAAAAAAAAAAAAAAAAAAAAAAAAAACCAACAAAAAAAGCTTGATAATTTAGTTTTTTGAATAAAGAAATTTAATAAAAGATTGCCTACATGTAGCATTTTAGAGCATTTTAGAACATTTTGATGAATTGCATCTGTCCTGTAAGATTATTTTTTTTTAAAGCTAAATCCAGTAAAAAATGTTTTTAAACAAAGTAATGTTTTATGAGGTGGTGGGTTAAAGAAGACTTCTCTTAGCTTCTAGCCTCATTGATTTTGAGTAACTCCTTGAAAACAAGGGGTTTGGTTTAAACCAAACTTCAAGGGCTCCTAGACCTACAGTCCTTACCCAAGCAAAATGCCTATGGAAACACAACAGGTGTCTTTCCTGGGTAAAGAATCCTGTACTGAGCCCTTAATCAGAGCTAAGGCACCATGGTACTCCCATCACTTGGCTGCCATGGTGTTTTTAATAGGTGTTTGCTTGGCCTTTTTATCAAAAAATGTCCAATTTCAGAATGCATTTTGATGTTTAAAGAGACAGTGACTCAGAACTTAAAAAACCCCATCTTCATACCTACCATATACAAGCAAAATGAGCATTAGCATCCCTCACAAACTGCTAAAGATATACCAAGAAATGGCTTTGAATACTTGTTAAATATATATATGTATGTATGTGTATATATATTTAACACTGACAACTCTGGTCTTATACTAAGACTTAAGAGGCAAGGTTCTTCTCACTTACAGAGGACGAAACATGGCATAAGCTCGTTGCTTTCGATGGGACTGAAAGGTCAGGCAGTTGTGTCCTTGAGTGGAATCTAGCCCTGACATACTTGGCTCCAACCACCCAGTTACTCCTTGCAGGCAGCCTCTGGTGCTGGCGCTTGCTGGAGCTGCTGCTGCCGAGGCGGGTCTGCTGCTATACAGTAACTGGTAGGATGCAGGTCTTAGTTACTATCTTCTGGGGCTTATTTTTTTCCTTTGTTTTACTACCTCTCATTTTTTTAATTTATTGAACATGCTTCAAATAGCAAGTCTGGGGAATTTTTTAATCATTCTTTTTACTTGAAACCTGTGTGCTTTTTCTGGATATATATAAACAATTTAACGAACTGTTTCTTAAACTCATTTGGTTTTGTAATTTATATAGAATTCAGGAGATGATTAAAAGGGCTATTCTCTATTCCCTATGCAAATATTTTAACTGTTGTAGTGTTTGACAAAATGGGATCTAAAAAAAAAATCTGCAAAGTGGAAAACAAATCTGTTTACAGTGGCGTTGCTGACTATCCTACCATATTCAGCACTTTTAAATATTGTTATTTATGAAAATGTAGTTTAAAATGCAAGACAAAATATTTATAAATGTTTCTTTTAATAAATACCTGTTTTGTCTGAAAGTGTTATTGTGTTATGACAACTTTATTCATGTTGGTTAGCTACTTACCATTATGAATAAAATATTCAATTATTATGCTGATAGAACAATAGCTATGATGTTTACAAATCCTGAGGGGGGAATATTCAGTGAGAAAGGACTGCGTCCTTCTACTGTGAAATACTGTTAGAAAAAATGATTTTTTTCTGGCTTTTTTTCTTAATTGGAATTTAACTATGGTCCTACATATGTCTAGTATCATTTGATTACAGTTATATTTACTGTGGTACTAAACATATACAGCATCATATATGTAAATATTTACATAGTGTAATTTCAAGTTTGTTGGTGTTTGAGGCACAATACATTTAGTTCACACATCTAAACAATGTGTAAGAGACAAAACTGCATGCATAAGTCTTTACAAATGTCGACTTGAATATTCTTAATGTTACTATTTGATGGTGACGTGCTAGTCATAAGCCATCTTTATAAGATATTTCACACAGGTGGACATTCTTGTCAACATAGACAAGTCATCCTTTCAAGGACAGTTTTAAGCTAAACGTGCGGGCCCTAAAATATTATCTTGGTTTCTAGCATAAAATTCCAAAATCTGTATTTGGAAACTGTTACATCATTTTGAAAAATATTACACCAATCTTCAGTGTAATACTGCAATGAAATCACGTTCAAAATTTCTTGTCTTAAATCCTCTATTTGGAGGGATTTAAAAATTGAACATAACGTGAAGTTTCTTTCTTGGAGCAAATGCTCATATTAAGATGTTTAATATATGTTTCATCTATCAGTTTGGGTTTCCCAAATTTTTTTTATGAAAAAATGGATATGGTCCAAATGGACAACAAGTCATGCCGAAACATGATCTCATTGCCTATCATACAGTTCTTTGAACACAAATTGTAAAACAGTCAAGCTATTAAACTGATTTATTGTGCATGCAGCGTACAATACACTTTGAAGAATTGCCTAGATACACTTATTCTATAGCCTGGAATAAAATAAGTATGTATTTAACTTGTATTTCAGTTTTTCATGAGAATGTATATAGCAAGTGCACTACAGAAAGTGAGTTTTGTTTTTGTCACTTTTGCCCAGCGTTTAATCTTTTCTGCCAAATAGAGCCTAATGCCAAATAGCCACAAATAAGCAAAGTACTTGTGTACACTCCTGACCTTTAGGTTTCAAAGAAAATGAATATATATAGTGTGCGTGTGTTCAACTTAGCTGTTTACAGTTAACCTTCACACAACTGAGCTGAAAGTAGTTTGGGATACCCAGGATGAAACAAAACCCGCAGACAGTATCAAGAGTATTTAAATGAGACTGAGGGCACATATGGTATGAAGGAGACTAGAGGTATGACGGAGAAAAGACAGGTCAGTGACACAGGTGGCTGGGCTGCACGTTAACCAGCTGAGTCCAGGCAGCACGGTACCGTGGAAATGTGGCCATAGCACTTCCAGGTCCACAGCCTGTCCACAACTCACTTGACCACCTGTGGAGTCCACATAATCCATTTGCAGAACAACAGAGAGTGAACACAAACCAGACTTAATCTAGTAATAGCTCTACTTTAAATGAAAAGCGTGCTGAAGTGCCTGCTAGGCTGTGGTCTAAACCAAGCAAATAGAGGAGACCTACATTCTACCTTAAACAGCCAGGGTTTAAGCGGTCACCTGGTGCCAAACTCGCTCCCCTAGGCAGCAAATTCGATCACAAGGAGCATCTGCCTGTGGAACCAGTATCTAACAAAGGTGAGGGGCTCTTTCGGTGAGAGCAGCTTGCTGGACTGACCACGCCGTGAGCCTGCTCAGGAACCAGCAGCTTCTGTATGCAGTAAGTGCTTGCAAAAGCCGATTAGCGTAAGTATTCCACAATGCCAATTCAAAAGCAATCAAAGTTCATACAAGAAAGTCTCTTAACTTCAGTGACTCCTGACACCACCAGGAGTAAAGCTCACACCTCTACAATGCCCGTGAGCCTGCTCCCAGAAGCGTTAACCCAGCCAGTAACAGTCTGAGTCCTTATCAAATCCAACAAAGCGAAAAATTAAGGTTGCAATGTCTGCTCCAGGTTGATTTGAACCATGGCTAATTACCAACTTCAAAACAGGCCTTTTCTCAGCCCATAGTGCTGTTATTTTTGGAGAGACCAAGGAGTAGCACTGTAGCACATCCTGGGACATGGCTGCAGCGACAAAGGTCCAGTCCTGTTCACCACTACCCTGAGTACGTTTGCAGTGACAAAACATCAGCCCCCTTCACATAGGTCCTGAATACTTCTGCCAGCAGTAGAAGTGACGTTTGTGGGATGAAAGAACAAAGCAATAATGGTGCCAAAACCAGCTGGAAAAAAACTGACATAAACATTGTCTGCATATTACTGTAACACTATACCAAAAGCCAGATTTTGCCCCTTCCTTTATCCATAAACTCACTCTGTGGAAATCCGTCCTTCCAGTTTAAAACAGGGATACAATTCAGGTGATTCAAAGGCTGACTATTAGTCATGGACTCACATTACCTTTTTTGCGTCTCAGAAGCTTTACATTAAATCACCCTTTACTCTAAATTTCCTGAGTTCTGCGTACTTCTCTCACAAGCAGGGTTCACACAGCCATTAAGACTCTCATAATTTCTTTCATTGTTACAGAGCACCAAAATATTTTGTCTATTAAATGCATAAATTTGATCATTTTTCCTTTACTCTTCTGAAAGAAGGCTTCAGGGAGCTTCATGGGCAGGCAGCAGTGAGTGCAAGGGAAGCTTTTGGTGGGTGAGATTTCATAAGCAATGGCCTGGGCTGTTGATCAGCACCAGAATAGCTGCACGGACTGTACATTCTCCACAAAGCTCTTCAAGTGTGATTTTACTTATAAATTATTGCTACAGTGTATTTTGCCAATAAACCTTATTGAAAGTGGTGCATTTACAATCACAGGAAAACATTTTTATGCAACTGTTCATTTTAATGTTTAATATTCCGAATAACAAATTCTCACGTTGACTGTTGCCTTTGGATTTCCACAATGGAACAAAACTTCCAAATTTTCGTTTCTGACTACCAAAACTACTTAGGTGTACAAGCATTACTCTTGCTTTTGATACTACATTCATGAAAATAACAATTTACTAATGTATTATATGCAAGTTACTGTTATTCCACCAGTGTAATTTAGTTGTAAAGTATGATTACCTAGTTCTCTTATGACATGAACAAGGAAAGAAGAGCAGCAAAGACCCAACTTTAACTCCTCCAATGACTGTAATATAAAATACTG